TGCTAGTTTTTATTAGGGCAACAAAACTGCATACTCAATTAAAATTAAAATTTTGTCGATTTTTGCCAATTTTAATGATGTAACCCCTTATCTTTTTTTGCAAAAATGGAAAAAATTTTCAAAATTTTTTTTTCGACGGGACGTAGTTAGATCGATTCATCTATTGATTCTGATCAAGAATATATATGATTTATAGGTCGGAAATGACTTCTTTACAGTTTAACAAGCTTCTGACTAAACATATAATACCTCTCTTAGAGTCAATATTTTAAATGACAATTTTGTCAACAAATCAATTTTTAAAAATTCATAACTAACCCAAAAATTAATTAATTTTAATTCGGAAACATTTTTTATGCGAGTTTTTAATACTGCAATAAAACTGCATACTAAATTTACTCGCAAATTAGTCCCTCGCATTTCTACAAGCTTCTGAAATAACTTATAATACTTTTCCTTGAGTCAATATTTTTAATGACAATTTTGTCATCAAATCAATTTTTAAAAATCTCATAAGTGAGCCAAAAATGCATTTATTTCAATTCGGAAACCTGTCCTATGCTAGTTTTTATTAGGGCAACAAAACTGCATACTCAATTAAAATTAAAATTTTTGTCGATTTTTGCCAATTTTAATGATGTAACCCCTTATCTTTTTTTGCCAAAAATCGAAAAAATTTTCAAAATTTTTTTTCGACGGGACGTAGTTAGATCGATTCATCTATTGATTCTGATCAAGAATATATATGATTTATAGGGTCGGAAATGACTTCTTTACAGTTTAACAAGCTTCTGACTAAACATATAATACCTCTCTTAGAGTCAATATTTTAAATGACAATTTGTCAACAAATCAATTTTTAAAAATTCATAACTAACCCAAAAATTAATTAATTTTAATTCGGAAACATTTTTATGCGAGTTTTTAATACTGCAATAAAACTGCATACTAAATTTACTCGCAAATTAGTCCCTCGCATTTCTACAAGCTTCTGAAATAACTTATAATACTTTTCCTTGAGTCAATATTTTTAATGACAATTTTGTCATCAAATCAATTTTTAAAAATCTCATAAGTGAGCCAAAAATGCATTTATTTCAATTCGGAAACCTGTCCTATGCTAGTTTTTATTAGGGCAACAAAACTGCATACTCAATTAAAAATTAAAATTTTGTCGATTTTTGCCAATTTTAATGATGTAACCCCTTATCTTTTTTTGCAAAATCGAAAAAATTTTCAAAATTTTTTTTCGACGGGACATAGTTAGATTGATTCATCTATTAATTCTGATCAAGAATATATATGATTTATAGGGTCGGAAATGACTTCTTCACAGTTTAAAAAGCTTCTGACTAAACATATAATACCTCTCTTAGAGTCAATATTTTAAATGACAATTTTGTCAACAAATCAAATTTTAAACAATTCATAACTAACCCAAAAATTAATTAATTTTAATTCGGAAACATTTTTTATGCGAGTTTTTAATACTGCAATAAAACTGCATACTAAATTTACTCGCAAATTAGTCCCTTGCATTTCTACAAGCTTCTGAAATAACTTATAATACCTTTCCTTGAGTCAATATTTTAAATGACGATTTTGTCAACATATCTAATTTTAAAAAATTCATAACTAACCCAAAAATGTATTCATTTTAATTCGGAAACATTTTTTATGCGAGTTTTTATAAGGGCAATAAAACTGTATACTCAATTTACTCACAAATTACTCCCTCGCATTTCTACAAGCTTCTGAAATAACTTATAATACTTTTCCTTGAGTCAATATTTTTAATGACAATTTTGTCATCAAATCAATTTTTAAAAATCTCATAAGTGAGCCAAAAATGCATTTATTTCAATTCGGAAACCTGTCCTATGCTAGTTTTTATTAGGGCAACAAAACTGCATACTCAATTAAAAATTAAAATTTTTGTCGATTTTTGCCAATTTTAATGATGTAACCCCTTATCTTTTTTTGCAAAAATCGAAAAAATTTTCAAAATTTTTTTTTCGACGGGACATAGTTAGATTGATTCATCTATTAATTCTGATCAAGAATATATATGATTTATAGGGTCGGAAATGACTTCTTCACAGTTTAAAAAGCTTCTGACTAAACATATAATACCTCTCTTAGAGTCAATATTTTAAATGACAATTTTGTCATCAAATCAATTTTTTAAAATCTCATAAGTGAGCCAAAAATGCATTTATTTCAATTCGGAAACCTGTTCTATGCTAGTTTTTATTAGGGCAACAAAACTGCATACTCAATTAAAAATTAAAATTTTTGTCGATTTTTGCCAATTTTAATGATGTAACCCCTTATCTTTTTTTGCAAAAATCGAAAAAATTTTCAAAATTTTTTTTTCGACGGGACATAGTTAGATTGATTCATCTATTAATTCTGATCAAGAATATATATGATTTATAGGGTCGGAAATGACTTCTTCACAGTTTAAAAAGCTTCTGACTAAACATATAATACCTCTCTTAGAGTCAATATTTTAAATGACAATTTTGTCAACAAATCAATTTTAAAAAATTCATAACTAATCCAAAAATTAATTAATTTTAATTCGGAAACATTTTTTATGCGAGTATTTAATACTGCAATAAAACTGCATACTAAATTTACTCACAAATTACTCCCTCGCATTTCTACAAGCTTCTGAAATAACTTATAATACTTTTCCTTGAGTCAATATTTTTAATGACAATTTGTCATCAAATCAATTTTTAAAAATCTCATAAGTGAGCCAAAAATGCATTTATTTCAATTCGGAAACCTGTTCTATGCTAGTTTTATTAGGGCAACAAAACTGCATACTCAATTAAAAATTAAAATTTTTTTCGATTTTGCCAATTTAATGATGTAACCCCTTATCTTTTTTTGCAAAAATCGAAAAAATTTTCAAAATTTTTTTTTCGACGGGACGCAGTCAGATCGATTCATCTATTAATTCTGATCAAGAATATATATGATTTATAGGGTCGGAAATGACTTCTTCACAGTTTAAAAAGCTTCTGACTAAACATATAATACCTCTCTTAGAGTCAATATTTTAAATGACAATTTTGTCATCAAATCAATTTTTTAAAATCTCATAAGTGAGCCAAAAATGCATTTATTTCAATTCGGAAACCTGTTCTATGCTAGTTTTTATTAGGGCAACAAAACTGCATACTCAATTAAAAATTAAAATTTTTTTCGATTTTTGCCAATTTTAATGATGTAACCCCTTATCTTTTTTTGCAAAAATCGAAAAAATTTTCAAAATTTTTTTTCGACGGGACATAGTTAGATTGATTCATCTATTAATTCTGATCAAGAATATATATGATTTATAGGGTCGGAAATGACTTCTTCACAGTTTAAAAAGCTTCTGACTAAACATATAATACCTCTCTTAGAGTCAATATTTTAAATGACAATTTTGTCATCAAATCAATTTTTTAAAATCTCATAAGTGAGCCAAAAATGCATTTATTTCAATTCGGAAACCTGTTCTATGCTAGTTTTTATTAGGGCAACAAAACTGCATACTCAATTAAAAATTAAAATTTTTTTCGATTTTTGCCAATTTTAATGATGTAACCCCTTATCTTTTTTGCAAAAATCGAAAAAATTTTCAAAATTTTTTTTTCGACGGGACGCAGTCAGATCGATTCATCTATTAATTCTGATCAAGAATATATATGATTTATAGGGTCGGAAATGACTTCTTCACAGTTTAAAAAGCTTCTGACTAAACATATAATACCTCTCTTAGAGTCAATATTTTAAATGACAATTTTGTCATCAAATCAATTTTTTAAAATCTCATAAGTGAGCCAAAAATGCATTTATTTCAATTCGGAAACCTGTTCTATGCTAGTTTTATTAGGGCAACAAAACTGCATACTCAATTAAAAATTAAAATTTTTGTCGATTTTGCCAATTTTAATGATGTAACCCCTTATCTTTTTTTGCAAAAATCGAAAAAATTTTCAAAATTTTTTTTTCGACGGGACATAGTTAGATTGATTCATCTATTAATTCTGATTAAGAATATATATGATTTATAGGGTCGGAAATGACTTCTTCACAGTTTAAAAAGCTTCTGACTAAACATATAATACCTCTCTTAGAGTCAATATTTTAAATGACAATTTTGTCAACAAATCAATTTTTAAAAAATTCATAACTAACCCAAAAATTAATTAATTTTAATTCGGAAACATTTTTTATGCGAGTTTTTAATACTGCAATAAAACTGTATACTCAATTTCCTCACAAATTACTCCCTCGCATTTCTACAAGCTTCTGAAATAACTTATAATACTTTTCCTTGAGTCAATATTTTTAATGACAATTTTGTCATCAAATCAATTTTTTAAAATCTCATAAGTGAGCCAAAAATGCATTTATTTCAATTCGGAAACATGTCCTATGCTAGTTTTTATTAGGGCAACAAAACTGCATACTCAATTAAAAATTAAAATTTTTGTCGATTTTTGCCAATTTTAATGATGTAACCCCTTACCTTTTTTTGCAAAAACTAAAAAAATGTTCAAAATGTTTTTTTCGACGGGACGTAGTTAGATCGATTCAGCTATTAAATCTGATCAAGAATATATATGATTTATAGGGTCGGAAATGACTCCTTCGATGGGTTCGAAGCTTCTGAATAAAATTATAATTGAATATTATGTCTGAATAGACAAGACATAGAAAACCTTTGGCATCTATGTATTCTTAACATTTTAAACTACGTGTGCTTATCTTGAAACTATTTCATTTCCCCTATCTAAACTGCTTGTTGGTTAATCAAATTTACTAATGGGTATTTTAATTGAATACAATGTTCTTCAATTTCAAAAGAACTTTATTTTAACTCACCAACCACATGCATTTTCATGTTTTCCCATCGCTTGTAAAAAATGCGGTTTCCGCTCCTTTTGGCAACCTTCGATTGTACTCATCAAGTTCTCCTTGGATTCCCTTCACTTTAGTGGTGACGGGCGCCACCGATGGCATTGGAAAGGAATATGCCAGGGAGCTGGCCCGCCAAGGTCTGAACTTGGTGCTCATCTCGCGGACGAAGGAGAAGCTCATCGCCACCACCAACGAGATTGGTAAGCTCTACTTCATAATCCGCACAAGTCTATAGTATTTATTTTATATTGAATTAAAATCTTCAGAGAGTCAGTACAAAGTGAAGACGAAGTGGATTGCAGTGGACTTCACCAAGGGAATCGAAATATACGATCAGATTGAGAAAGAACTGGCTGGCATTGAAGTTGGCATTTTGGGTGAGTTAGAAAATAGAAAATTTGTTTTTCATTTAATAACCAAAACGTAATATAATTGAATAACTAAATAATGTAACATACATATATTTAGAAAGAAGGGAAACTAATTTCGATCATAACAATGCTTACAACATTCGCATTCCTGAAGTCAAAATTTAAGGATTTTTTAATTTTAGGACATGACACATTACCAATTCTTGGTTGCTTAATCGTAGAAGTTTTTCAACCAAAAATCGTTTTTTAAACAAATGTATATATTGTACATTCATCATTGTAAACACAGTGGCAAACGGCAATCAGTAGTAGCAAGCTTTTTATTTGTCTTTTTATTGTGACTCTTATTTTGTTTGTGCGGATGTCAATGTCAAACAGTAGTAATTGCGTGCAATTATAATGACTGGTTTTTGGTCTATTGGCGAGGCGAAGAGTGGCTTAGGCGATGTTCAAGTACATCTCGTTCATACATACTCATATCTATATACATTTTATTCGCCCGGCCAGACTCATAAACGCTTCAGAGTCTGACGCGCTTCAGCAATTTACATTTCGAGAAAGAGACCTTGCGCTCGCCTCAAGGCATTTCGACCAAATATTTTGCCTGATAACAGTTGACATTGATCTTGGTCATGGGAATTTATTCGTCACGATAACTTTTATCTAGCTTGCTATAAAAATAAAGAGCTTATAATTTGCCTGTGCCTTGTGAAGGCGCTTTGCTTCATTGATAAAAATGGAACTTTGAGTTTAGTTAGTGACTCACTTAAATCGAAATAAATATAACACCCCTTAAACTTTACAGTGAACAATGTGGGCATGATGTACGAGCACCCAGACAGCCTGGATCTGGTGCCAGAGAAGCTTCTATGGGATCTGCTGACCGTTAATATGGGATCCGTGACCATGCTCACCCGCAAGATCCTGCCCCAGATGATAGGACGTCGGAGGGGAGCCATTGTCAACCTGGGATCCTCCTCGGAACTGCAGCCGTTGCCCAACATGACCGTCTATGCCGCCAGCAAGAAGTTTGTGACCTATTTCACCAAGGCCCTGGAGCTGGAACTGGAGGAGCACAACATCCATGTGCAGCTGGTGATGCCCAATTTTGTGGTTACCAAGATGAACGCCTACGCCGATCGGGTGATGCAAGGCGGTCTTCTATTTCCCAATGCCTATACCTTTGCGCGTTCAGCTGTTTTTACACTGGGAAAAACGAGTGAGACAAACGGGTTCTGGACACATGGCATACAGGTGTGCAATAACTTATTGTAGGACTAACAATATATAAAAATAAATCCCTATTATTTACAGTACTTCTTCATGAAGATGGCTCCGTTGCGTATCCGCACCTACTTGGGCCATCAGCTCTTCAAGCGCCTGAGGATTGAGGCCCTTCAGCAGAAGCAACAAAACTGGGATTGCTGTAGCAGCTTAAGCTTGGGTCACCATTGGTCTTGTAAATATTTGGTTCTTAGTCTTAAGGCCTAAACTATTAAATGAATTTTGTAAAAAGTCAAGAAAAAATAAAATAAAATACTATAAAAACAAAACAAAAGGTTGTACATAAAAACCGGCTGGCGAAATCAATTGCCAAAATGCATAAAGCACTGCCGGATTGCATAACCGCTGCAATTTAGCTTCCTGATGAGGGGTTGCAGTGTGCGGAGGATTGGCCAAGGGGGTGTTGACGGTTTTTAGCCATAAAACCGGTTGGCCAGCGCGCGAAGCTGCTGACCGACAAAAACGGCCAAAAGGCGAATCGGCCAACGGCAGATGGTAGCCGCCAAAACAGTTGCTATGACGATGTCTTCGCTTCATTGCCTGCCTGCACTTTTCGTTATTTTCAGCATTGTTTCCATTTACGATTTTGGCTTAGACGATTTATTAGGTTTTTTGCAAGGTAGTTATAGGCCAGGTCGCAATGCAAATGAAGCTTAAGTACTTGTGGTCTCACACTGACACTATAACGATAAATATGACTTTACAATGTGTTTTTAATACTATCTATTTATTACTGAAATAAAGGTAGGAGTATTTGTTATTAGTAAGAATTAAATGCCTATCATAAACACTGATTACTATAACAGAAGATTAATAATTAATTACTAAACCAGAATTTTATCATTGAAGGAGTTCTCTAAACTTGCCAAGCCTCTATCAATAGACATCTGTATAGTGGTTGAATACCAAATTTCTCTGAAAAAATGAATACCTTTAAGTTTGAAGAAGTAAAAACATTTATGCATTTTTCCATGAACATTTTTAAAACATTTTACAAAACCATTTTCCATAATTCAATGCCCAAAAGTATGCCCTCAACTTTGTTTAGTTTGGTTTGTCAAAAACAAGTCCATCCATTTTCACATAAAATAAACTACAGTATACAAAACTTTCACTTATTATACTTAGCAATTAACACACTTCGTAACATTTAAACTAGATACCCCCATAATCTGGTAAATATATATTTAAAATCCCCAATTCAAACGACATTTTAAGGTTTGTGTTTTTTTTTTTTGTTTCTTTTATTCCTGCAGTTGATGTTGTTTGTTTTGCTGTTGTTCTGCATGTGTTTTTAGTCACATAAAATTAAAGAAAAGAGTGGGGTAAAATGCAGTTATACATTATGTATGTCTTACTAAATATGAATGCGAACTAAACTTGTTTTGTCCAACAATGAAATAACCAATTTTCTGATCTTTCACATTGATTTGCTGCTGTTTTGCTTATACTGTACATCATGGTCTATAAATTTGCAAACTATGTGAATTCCATTGCGAAACAAAAATGAAGAAATCACAAAACTAAAATTTATGATTAAAACAGATGACGCCAAGGCCTCGGCAGCAGATAACCGCGGAATCGGATGGATCGGTCTTGCAGCGCCTCGATGGATGGTGGAAATCTAGCGCAGCACTAGGAAAAACAAATCGGAGAAAAACGAAGGGAAATATTCAACTGAAGCGCGTCCAGGGGAGCGTGATTAATCGTACTCACCACTCGGCAGGGGTTGTCCATCGATCACCTTAGTGATCGTGATCATGATCCTAATATAATGCCGGCGAGCCTCCGATCTGGTAGCAGCTGGTGGCTTTGACGTCATCTGCAATTGTGCATTAGTCAATTATTTATTTGCTGAACTCAATTTATAAAATAATCGTCCCATTGAGTAGATCGATTTATTGATTATAAAATAGAAATTACTGCTTTATTTTTTCCTAAAGGAAAGCATATATTCTATTTGCGCTTTTGTTTGTTCAAGTGGCATAAACAATTGCGTTGTTTGTTCCAAAGACCATAAGCTTCTTTGAAATTTATTTTTGGGTTCGACAACATATAACTCAGGGAGGGATTTTAACCGCAAAAGTGCGCATGTTGACTTGGCCAAGATAAAAAGAAGCATCTGCCTTTTGGCTTATCTATCAAACTGTGCGATATATTCGAAAACATTTAATAAAATGTATAATTATAATATCCCCACCTTAGCCAATCATAAATTCTGGCCATAAAAAACACTGACGCTTTGAAAATCTCTATGACTGTGTGTGCACCGCAGATCGTGAAAAGTTTCGGGCGCAAATTTGAATCACAGAGTTGCGACATTCGGAAAATGTTCTGTGTGAAAGCGATTTTGAATGTTCTCAAGGGAGGGGGCTCCGACGACAGGAAGGTGTTTAGTGGGCCATGTCGAAATTTTGTCGTTAAAAAATAGAACCACAGAATCTATTTTTTCACTTTGGAAAATTATTATCGAGCTGCCAAATGGCTGCCAAAAAATTTTCGACGAACGCTTTGAGATTTTTGTCAAGGTTTCGCAATGCGCGCGTTCTTTAAGATTTTTATAAAATATAAGCATGTTTTCAATCCTTTTTTTGATGTGTCTGCTGGCTAATTGAATTAATTGGGGCCCGGGTTCTGGGGTGTGTTACTCACCTGGCTTAGGTTACTAGTAGAAATCCATTAAATGCTAAACATCTTAAACGCGTAGAGGGTCCTAAAAGCCCCGCCATCGGCCACCGGATGTTAAGGCTGGACACGATGTGGCGGGGACTTGGAATTGAAATTCAACATGTAAGCTATCCTTGATTGACTGATTGATTGATGGGTGGGTGGTGAGGGGGTGGCTTGTGGTCTAGAAGGCGGCCTCGTAGAAGGCATAGAGCAGGAACAGAAGGAAGGCCAGGATGGCGAAGGTGGTGATCAGACTTCTGGCTTCATTCATTTTGGATGCGTTGGCTGCTGCTGGTTGCTATCGATGACAAGGGATAATGCGGATTAGGTAATGCAGATTGACCGATCGATCGATCGATCACGGATCACAAACACACACTTGCAAGGAAGGACAGGGGCTTTTCTTTTTGGAGAGATTTCCAACCGTTCGTAGCTAAAGGCGCGCAATAACTGAGAAGCTGAATTTTCCGATCTGTTGCCACTTCTCCACGAAATGTTGGCCAGCGCTTGGAATTATGGCTATGCCCAGCCGCCACCCGCACGCATTCACATACATCCAATTTATATAGGCGATATATAAAAAAATTCATTTATATATCCATACCAGCGCCGGCTATTCTGCCTTTGTGTTGGTGTCCAGTTGTTGCTCATATTTTTTGCCGCGGCACAAATATTTTCTAGAGTCATGTATGCAAAGTATATACGGGTTATAGTTCGGCATAGACAAACATATAAGTATATATTTTGGATATATGCATATATATATATATGCAGATTCCATGGGATTCTAGTTCATTTTTCTGTGTGTTCTTTGGCCATAATTCACTGGCTGGACTGCACCTAGACAAATTGCCATTCTCTGACTGGACCTTGTCATTTGAAAAATTAATTCAGTCGCTTTTATTTATTTATTTGTATTTTTTGTTGATTATGCGGCTGTGTCTGGGGTAGGTGTTTTCGCTCCAGCCCGTTTGTTTGTTTGATTAACATAACATATTTATTTACTTGCAAGTGCCAAATGGCTTTGGCCAGGTTTGTTGTTTGAAATCTTTTCAGATATGGAAAGAATCTGAAAAGTTTGGGCATCGGTCACGTAGCCCCCCATTGAGTTTATGGCACATTTTTGATCTTAATGAGCATTTCAAGGATTGGGATTGATGTCGATTTCGTTTCAAGTAAAATCAATGGGAAAATGGGGTAATTGCAAACCAAGAAATATAGTACAATGCTAAGAGAATTTTATAAGCAAAATGTAGCATTTCATTTGATTTAAAGGGAAAATTAAATAAGTTAAGTAATTGATTGAATGATTAAGATCGAAGATATTGTCCCCATCAATAGCTACGAAGGTTCGATTCTCCATTTATAAATAAATATAATTCTAACCATAGTTCATCTTACCTTGGTTCCTGCTCTAAGGACCTCCTGCAGGACCTAACATTCTACAATACGGCATAGATGATGTAAAGGAAGAAAAGGAGGATGGCCAGGATGCCGAAGGTGGTAAACAGATTCTGGGCTTCGCTCATATTGATTGAATTTGCTGCAGAGAAATCAGAGGGAAGCGGTCATTAGTATTAATTTTGGAACTCAGCCAGGCGAAGGTTGAATTATTTAAAAATTCCTTCGCATTACATATACATGAGATATATTAAAAAAAAAAAAAAACATTTTCATTTGGCGCGTGAGAAGTTTAATTTGATAGAAACATAAAAAAGGCGGTAATAAATTCTGAGGAAACACATATGATTTTGTTTTAAAATAAGCTAATCAAATAAAATCCGAACATGTATAAGTATAGATGTTTATATAAACTCGAAACAGAGAGAGCGATATCAAAGACATATGGGAAATATTAAATTCTTTTCGTTTTTCCTACGTCTGGTTATATCTATTTGATGATTCCGTTCTCTTTGTATTTGCTGATAGAGCAATCAAAGAACACAACGTCTATATAAATTGAAATAATTCCAGTTTTATAGATTGGACCCGTTCCAACTTTAAAAATTGAAAAGAACACGGCTGAAGAAATATTTATGAGCACGGCACACTTGAATTCGATATTTAAATGCGAATTTCCGAAATTCATAGCATTTCGATGGGGGGATCTTTCAGGTAAATTATGCACTTCTTTGCCAGCCAAGTTTACCTTTTGGTTTTTTCTGTCCGCTGGGGAAGACACAATTTTTTGGGCTACTAACTGCTGAAAGCCTTTGGCTCAACTAAAATCGTTCGCCCGTCCACGAATCGGGATATAGATGAAATACTTAGCGGACTTGCGAACATTCATACACACTCGGTTGGAAAAGACCTGACAAGTGTGGATATAGCAGCGTGATTGTATGGGTGTTTATGGATATATAGCGAAATATTTTGTCCCATTGGCCAAAATGAGATGCCACTACTGAGGCAGAAAGTGCAGACTTTTTGGAAAGTCGCGTCGAAATAACATCGAAAATAAATAAAATAAGTCTACGGCGCACATTTTGACAGTTTTCGAGCAGCCGCTGGCCGGATCTGAAGCCAAAACCCCCAACAATAACAATGCGTTCATTAAAAATAATACACGCATCTACTATATAGTTCTTCTGTATCCCCAAGTTTTGTTCCATTTTTTGAAAAAAATACAAACCCAAAACATTCGCCTTGAAATTATTGACAGTATTTTTGGAATCTCCGCAAGTGCTAATGAACGAGCTAGGGAGGAAGAAATGTATGGTATCATTGTGTATATAAATCATTTTAAATTAAGAATTTCAGCTATTCAGCTCTCTTAAATTAAAATACCTTGATCTCAATGAACTATTAAATTTAACAGAAAGTAAAACATACTCCAATTCAACCCCATTCTACCCTCTGAGTACATATAAATACCACCACAAAATGTTCATAAACAAGTGTCGCACATTTCGGGTCCATGACTTTTCTAAAGAAATAAAAACATACACTTTCCCTAAGCTGACACTTGTCATTAAGTCAATTTGAAAATGCAATGCGCAGATGGCGCAAAAAAACGCCAAAAATGTGACACAAATATATATACAAGTAATGGTTCTAATGACCAAAACAATTATGTACAGCTTGATGAAATGTCGTTCGCTTGAACTCATCTATTGATGAAATCAGAATAAGAGCCTTGAAATGATTGCGGCAAACACAGAATGTTTGTGCCTTAAAATAAACATTTCCCTAAAAAAATAAGAGATTTTCTAATGGAATAACTAATTGTTTTCAAAGCGAACAGTTTTAGGTGTATTTGAGCTAATGAAGCTGTGACCACATTGCGTATACGTAATATTTGTAGGACATAGTAAGCTTCTCTAGATTTGTGAAGCTTGCGAACATGAATTTTGTACAATTTTCTAGGTATTAATTTTTCATGAAATATAATACAAATGTTACATTTTAAATTTAACAAATAGTGTAATATTTAATATTAATATACAATTAAAATTCACAGAATAAACTATTAAAAATTCACAGAATGTTTCAGCCTTAAAATATACGAACTTTGTTGGATTTCCCTCTAAACAAATAAGAGATTTTCTAATGGAACAATTTGTTTTCAAAGCGAGCAGTTTTAGGTGTATTTGAGCTAATGCAGCTGTGACCACATTGCGTATACGTAATATTTGTGGGACATAGTAAGCTTCTCTAGATTTGTGAGGCTTGCAAACTTGGTTTTTACACTCTTTTTCTTGTAATATAATATGCATTTTAAATTTTAAATTTAACAAGTAATGTAGCATTTAACATCATTAAGCTATTAAATTTTATTTATGCCAGTTTTTCCATTTAAAATAGGACTTGACCTTGCCGCAGTGTTAAACTGCACGTTTGTTTTTAATTAAACAAGAAAGGAAATAAAGTTCATAAAACCAAAGTTTTTATACCCTTATAGTTTGTAATTCAGCTTTAAGATCGAATTGGCAAACGATCATAACTAAACTTAAAATATTTGAAATATATAAATGACAATTTAAAGGAAAAAAAAAGAAAAAAAACTCATAACTAAGCCAAAAATGCATTGATTTTAATTCGGAAACCTTTCCTATGCTAGTTTTTATTAGGGCAACAAAACTGCATACTCAATTAAAAATTAAAATTTTTGTCGATTTTTGCCAATTTTAATCTTTTTTTGCAAAAATCGAAAAAACTTTCAAAATTTTTTTTTGACGGGACATAGTTAGATCGATTCATCTATTAATTCTGATCAAGAATATATATGATTTATAGGGTCGGAAATGACTTCTTCACAGTTTAACAAGCTTCTGACTAAACATATAATACCTCTCTTAGAGTCAATATTTTAAATGACAATTTTGTCAACAAATCAATTTTTAAAAATTCATAACTAACCCAAAAATTAATTAATTTTAATTCGGAAACATTTTTATGCGAGTTTTTAATACTGCAATAAAACTGCATACTAAATTTACTCGCAAATTAGTCCCTTGCATTTCTACAAGCTTCTGAAATAACTTATAATACCTTTCCTTGAGTCAATATTTTAAATGACGATTTTGCCAACATATCTAATTTTAAAAAATTCATAACTAACCCAAAAATGTATTCATTTTAATTCCGAAAAATTTTTTATGCGAGTTTTTATAAGGGCAATAAAACTGTATACTCAATTTACTCACAAATTACTCCCTCGCATTTCTACAAGCTTCTGAAATAACTTATAATACTTTTCCTTGACTCAATATTTTAAATGACAATTTTGTCAACAAATCAAATTTTAAAAAACTCATAACTAACCCAAAAATGAATTATTTTTAATTCGGAAACATTTTTTATGCGATTTTTTAAAAGGGCAATAAAACTGCATACTAAATTTACTCGCAAATTAGTCCCTTGCATTTCTACAAGCTTCTGAAATAACTTATAATACCTTTCCTTGAGTCAATATTTTAAATGACGATTTTGCCAACATATCTAATTTTAAAAAATTCATAACTAACCCAAAAATGTATTCATTTTAATTCCGAAAAATTTTTTATGCGAGTTTTTATAAGGGCAATAAAACGGTATACTCAATTTACTCACAAATTACTCCCTCGCATTTCTACAAGCTTCTGAAATAACTTATAATACTTTTCCTTGAGTCAATATTTTTAATGACAATTTTGTCATCAAATCAATTTTTAAAAATCTCATAAGTGAGCCAAAAATGCATTTATTTCAATTCGGAAACCTGTCCTATGCTAGTTTTTATTAGGGCAACAAAACTGCATACTCAATTAAAAATTAAATTTTTGTCGATTTTTGCCAATTTTAATGATGTAACCCCTTATCTTTTTTTTGCAAAAATCGAAAAATTTCAAAATTTGTTTTTTCGCACCGGTTATAGCTAGATCGATTCGGCTGTTAATTCTGATCAAGAATATATATGATTTATGGGATAGGAAATGACTTCTTCACTACATATCAAGCTTCCGACTAAAATTATAATACCCTGAAAGGGAATAAATATGAAATTCCCATTTCAAAAACACATCAAAGTCATAAACAAAAACCTATAATAATCCATATCTATAAACAAAGTTCCTCTCCTCATCCAGCAAGCAAAAGCAAAACACAATTGCAAAAGTCTTTAAGGTCAAGGCGAATTCTAGAATGAAACCAGGAGAGTGAAAAGAGAACTAAGAGCATGGCGATAGAATCTAGAGTATACATATATTCTAGCTCAATCCGAGGCTTATCATCTCCCATTAGAGAGTGAGTCCGAGTAAGACGAAATTTTTGCGCAGTTTTTGCGAAACAAAACAAACGAGCGGACGAATACCACAATAAAATCAGAATAAAATGCATTGGAAGCTTCAGTTGGCGTTGCTAGCTATAGTAATTCATTTAGTGAGATCTCAAAATGATCCGGACTCGGTTACGGATAATACGGAAGGAGAAGCTGAAACGGAAACGGAATCGGACATCGAATCGGGGCAGTTCTTTAGCCACCTCTACAAGAGCAATTTGCGACAAATGGTGAAAATCAAGAATGATTCTTTGGATCCATGTGATGACTTCTACGCACATGCTTGCGGAAATTTCGATCAGGCTTTGGAGGAAGATCCAGAGGAATCTTTGCCTCCTTATCTGTACAATAAACAGGATAGGATGAGCTTCTTTGCTGCCCAGGTGGCCAATTTCCAGACTCTCCCGGGACGATTGATTTCGCAATTATATACGGAGTGTCGACAGAGAGGGCAGAGCAATGTTTTCAGTGTAAATCCACCCTCTACTCACTGGGAGAGTCTGCTGACGGAGATACCCTTTCTCGCGAGGCATGAAGCGGTCCTCACCAATTGGCCTTTCCTCCAGCATCAGTGGGAACGAAGACAACTTAATGGACAGCTCAATTGGATCGCTCTGTCGGCTCAACTGGCAGCTCATGGTGTGCCCACTTTACTACACATATATTTTGCTAAGGAAACAATTTATGTGGCTCCATTGGAGGACCTGCCGTGTCCCAGTATGGAGGGTTTCCAGATGAGTCTCTCAGATGTTATGGAGGGTCGTCATCACCACATTTCTTACCTAATTTCCCACGAGATGAGGATTCTGTGTCGTGGAATGAGAGGAGAACTACCGCTGGCCAGGAGTTTGACAAGAAAGGAAAGGACTACCACAGCGAGTCCTGGCCAAGAGCAGCTTCTGCTGGATGAGAATACAATGGAGTATTTTCAGCACTTTTTGGCTTCCTGAACTTCTCCAAGGAGCAGCTGGAGAGGGCTCGAAAGTTTCCCCTGGATGTGGAGAAGATCTCAATGGCTTGGGAAGTCTTGAGGCAAACGGAGCCTCGCATAGTTTACAACTATGTGTTGTGGCAGGCCAAGGAGCACCTTCGTTATCCAGATTGCTACAGGGTATCAGAGGAGTTTGAGAGGTTATTGCATGCGGAATACTGGCAATGGCATGTTTTGAGTTCTCACCTCAGCAGAGAAGTGGCCCTGGCCTCCTACCAACTTCATACTACTCGCTTTCAGCAACGAAGGAGAACCAGTCTCTCCAAAAGGGATTGGTATGGTCATCTGTTGCCAGCTTCTGTTGAAAAAAAGGAGCTACAGGTGGCTCGCATCCTTCAGGCTCATGCTCAACTTTATTTAAATATAACTGAACTGAACGAAAGCTATAGGGGACTGGGATTTAAAGCGAACTCATTTCATGGCAATCTTCTGCTGCTCAGACGAGCTCAGCTACGTCATAGCTTCGAATCCGTCTATATAGATGAGGAGGATGTGAATCAACCTGCCTATTTTCTCAGGCATTTCCTTCACTTCGTTCTGCTTTCGCTGTATCGACCCACCTATCACTACTATGCCACTCAGGGATTGGAGCTCTGGAGGCAATCAGGACTTCTGCTGGATACTGATGGTAGCTACACCGCTTTGGACTGCCTCGAGAGACAATCTCTGCAGCACTTTGATGCCGAATTGGCTCCAATTTATCGACCTTTAAGTTTTCACGAGATCAAGGAGATCTTCCACTTTCATCGCTCGTTCAGACATCTTTGCGAGATTATCGCTTTTGGTTACAGGGTGAAAGATTCGCCTTTGCGGAAACCTTTGTCCTGCAATACTTTGGCTTGGATCCCCAGAGGGTGCTCTTCTATGCGGTGGCCCAGCAGCTGTGTAATCGCCAGGCTTACATCTTTGCAGCCCAACTGAACAGGGGATATATGAATATGCCAGAGTTCCAAGAAGCATTCAAATGCAGAGCAGATAAGGCAATGAATCCTTCAGCCAGATGTATGATCAATATGTGTGAATAATTTATTGGATTAGAAAATATTTAAATTAGAAGAAAAATGAAATGAATATGAATAAATTTGAATTTACTATTATAGGTAATGCCGTCATATTGCTTAGAGTCCCATGACTACAAATTTCTAATTAAATTGTAAATATCTCTCTCTCAATCTTCATAGAAATTTATGAGGTTTACATAGGAAAATTCACAATAAATAATTTAATAGTTTTGACAATATTACCAATCAAAGGCACACATGTCGCTCGTTTAAAGCCAGAGGCGGGAAATGTCCATCCATCTGATCATTAATTTGTATTTTGCTTGACATTCCATAGAACAGATTATAGAATATGCACATATAGATTCCAAATATTGTGTATATATTGCCATGTCGCGAGTGGATTTCGAGAGGAAAAATCGTGGGCGTTCTCGACACACGTACCGGTAATAAATTGAAAAATCATCTAAAACATTTCCAGAGAACTGTTTAAGGAAAACACAGAGCTCTTCTACCATGGTATGAAATTATGGCCAGTACTTAAGAATATGGCTTTAGAACGTTTAACCGCATTATGGCCATAAAGCTCAATTTATGAATATATATGGTAATATATAATATTTGTTATCATTGAGCTGGGTCGGGAAATAATGCCAAATTATCTATGTGGGTCTCCGGAACGAGTTCAAGTCAATAATGGTAAGAGATTCTGGTTCAGGCCACGGCATTCCTATAAATGCAAAAGACCAGCGAACATTCGCCTTTGTACGTGAGCGAAGATCACTTGTAAATGACAACAAAAAGTTTTCATTCAGTAAACGCATTCGGCTGACACTTAAAACCACAAACACGTAGGCAAGTGTATATATTTCTATGAGTGGTTATTGTTGAGTGAGTAAGTGTTGTGTAAATGCATTTATGAGTTTTTGCCCGGAGACGTGTGTGTAAACAAATCATATAAATGTCTGAGACTATAAACAGAATTTTGGTGTTCTTGAAATGCATCTTAAGTAAAAGGAAATAAAACCGTTATTATTCTACGCGTTCCACGATCTCGGCATATTTTAATTTGATATTTTCATAGAGCTCCCGTTTCGGTTTCACTTTTCCACCCGCAACTCTCACTTTATAGCCACACTTTATGACTCAAACGCACACTTCCAAGAAAGCACTCACTCATTTGCATATCACTTACCCATACTCAGTTCGATTTGGCCAAAATTGTCTTGCCTTGGCCAGCCGGCCTTCAGTTTCTCCAATGTTTCCATTCCGAACACTTCATATTACTGGCAAAGAAATTCAATTTAAATTATTGCTTTGAATCAGTTGGAACTGCAGCTGTCAATATAAACTGGATCCATTCATCAGAGACCACACAAAATGCCCTGGCGGTGTGTAATTGGTTACCTAGTTGTAGGTGAGTAAGTCCAGAAAATCCGCATAATCCCATAATAACACAAAAAATAAGCTAACTTATATGGGTTTTATCGATTGTAATTACTTCTAACAAAAAGGGAACCGGAAGTTTGTTTACACCAACCATTGCGATTAACTAAGCTTGAATCAATCATAATTGAAATATAAAAATTTTGGAAAATCAAAATTTCTTAAACTCATTACTATGCCATTAAATTCAATTTGGAGAGCTTTCCTATGCTAGTTTTTATTAGGGCAATAAAACTGCATACTCAATTAAAAATTTAAATTTTTGTTGATTTTTGACAATTTTAATGATGTAACCCCTTATCTTTTTTTGCAAAAATCGAAAAAAATTTTTCGCACCGGACATTGCTAGATCGATTCTCCTAGTCATGCTGATCAAGAATATATATGATTTATAGGGTCGGAAATGACTCACAACATTATAAGCATTGCAAGTGTATAAATAATAGATTTCGTAAACAGTCCCAAAAAAATTACGCATACGCACTGGTGTAAATCGTATTTGATCATAACTAAGCCAAAACAGCAATAATTTTAATTCGGAAAACTGTTCTTTGTTAGGTTTTTTAAGGTTATAAATCTACAATTAAATAAATTAGCATTTTTGCTAATTTTTGAAAATTTTAACGATGTAACCCCTTATCTTTTTTTTTTTTAATTGAACAAATTTCGAAAAATCATTTTCGCACCGGACATGGCTACATCGATTCTCCTAGGCATGCTTATCAAGAATAAATATGATTATAAAGTCGGAAATGACTCCTTCACAATATTATTATCCTTGCAAGTGTATAAAAATAGACTTCGTAAACAGGCCCAAAAAATTACGCATACGCACTGGTGTAAATAGTATTTGATCATAACTAAGCCAAAACAGCATTAATTTCAATTCGGAAAACTGTTCTTTGTTAGGTTTTATAAGGTTAATAAATATGCATACTCAGTTTTAAATTTAAAACAATTTTCAAATTTTTGCGTTTGCAAACTTTTAACTAAAATAAGAATACCCTGCAAGGGCATACAAATCTTCTTCAACTCTTCTCAGTGTGTTTCGTTCCAAATGTTGTATGCCGAGGATCGTGAACTTGAAACCTATTCACATAGATGTGGATGCCACAGAGAGTCCCACTACTCAAGCACCATCTGCTCCATCGACGCCCTCCAACAGGACATTACCATCGGACCCTGCAAGTGGGCCATAGGACGCAGCTGTCCAGATCCGGATGTCAAATACTATATCTACACGCGCCACAATCCGATGGACAGACAGTGCCTGCATATAGACGAATCCCTGGAGAAGTCCAATCTCACTGCCTCCTACTTCAATCCCAGATATCCCACCAAGATCATTATCCATGGCTACAACTCGGATATGTTCTGCATCCCCTGCAGCAAATGAGAGATGGTAAGGGAGTGTGATCTAATAAAATTATCATTACTAATTATAATAACTTCGCAGAATACCTGGCAAGCAGACTATAATATCATCATGTGGACTGGAGTATCCTGTCGCCAGGACCATGCTATATAGTGCCGTTCACAACACCCGACATGCGGGCACCTGTACAGCGCAGCTGGTGGAACGCCTGGTGGATACGGGAAACACGGATATCCATGTAATTGGCTTCTCACTGGGGGCTCAAGTGCCAAACTATATAGCCCGAAATCTGAGCTCATTCATGCTGCCCAGGATTACGGGCTTGGATCCAGCTATGCCTCTGTTATCACCTCCGGCATTGCAGATAAGCTGGACCCTAGCGATGCCAATTACGTGGATGTGATTCACACAAACGCTTTGGTCCAGGGAAAAATGGAGAGATGTGGTCATGCCGACTTTTATATGAACGGAGGAATCATGCAACCAGGATGCAGTGGGCAGAAGATAAGTGAGTTGGATTATTATTTATTTAGCTCTCAATTAATATGGTTCCCTATACAGATTCCTTTGCCTGCAGTCATCAGCGTGCGCCTGCCATTTCCTGGAGTCCATTCGCTCTCCCAAAGGTTTCTGGGCTGGGCTGCAGCGGGTACATCTCCTATCTGCTGGAATGTGTCCTCCAACCAATTTTCTCCTTGAGGCCGGAGACAATATACGTCCCACGACTCGAGGCATGTTCATGGTAGACACCAACGATAGTTCACCTTTTGCGCTGGGCAAATGGACTGACTTACCCACCCTTGGAGCTAAGAATCCACATTTGAGGGCTCCTCCCCAGAAGTTATCAGCACCGGCAAATCAGGGCGTGGACCCACTACTTCAGCACATCGATCAGTTTGGCAAGCTGACGGCCAACTTCAACAACTTGCAGATGTCTCCCAACGGGATCAGGATCCATATGAGCATTGGACCAGCTTCAGTCCCGAGCAGAAGGAAAACGTCGATAACGACTCTGTGGAGGAGCAGGATCTTGTTGATTCGCCGATCCCGATGACGCCACCTCAGTACGCAGGCACCATCACTAAGCTGGTGGGACTACCGGAGGAACCTCACCTATGGCTTCATAGAAAATAACATATTTGCTGTGCCCACATTAAATTAGCCTCAATCGATGCTTTCCAGCTATTAAAACACCTTCCTTGCCCCCATTCCTTACTAATAAATAAGCATCGCATAAGTTGACAGTCATAATTACAAATCTAGTGCGTTTCAACCAATATAATTAAGTAAATCAGTATAAATGAAAGGACAAAGGAGACTTTGGCTAGATTTCTACCGCGCTATAACTGATGTTCCGATATTATTGCTTTATTGTTCTTGCGGGTTAGATGTGTTTAATCGAAATACAAAGCGGAAATTATGTACGTACAAATTGGACAATTCTGAACAAAAGATGCACTGCTCAGAGGATTAGGTATTTCCGCATACAATTCAATGGTGTTCAGTTTAATACAATTGCATTTTAATCAATAGTACATAAATTAATTAAATAGTAGCTATAATAATTGAGTTCAAAACAACCGATTACCGTTAATCAGATTATTGTGAAAACAATATTATTCAAACTCGCTGCATACTTAAAACATTCTGATTATAATGGCCGATGATTTGTTTATATCATAAATTGTAATTTGTGGGTTGCCATAATAATAGAAATGGACTTGTAGAATGTGGCCAGGTCAGTCGGGTCGGCTTGTTGGCATGCCGGGATGTCCTACGTCCTAGGTTCGGGTATTACAATCTGGCGACAAGATCCGGTGTGGTGGGTACAATATTGCCTTTGCGAATACATAATATGAATGTATAAAAGGGTAAGCGCGAGTTAATGGAACCGACCCGACTGCTATGATTTTCTTGGTGTGTTGACTGGTTTGTTTCTGCGCTATTATTCTCCGTCCTGACTACTGACTGAGCTTACACGTGTAAAATGCTAATCCTTTACCGTAATATTAGTGAAGGCTACAGACCTCTAGACCTTCTTCTTAACAGCCCGTCTGGCCCTGGTGGGGGTGGGCGCTGGCACTGGCGGAGCTGGCTCAGCCGGCGGAGGCTCTTCAGCGGCGGAATCTTCTTTACTTGGCTCTTTAACTGGTGACGGCTGATCTGGCTCAGTCTCCCCTCCTGCTGTACGGATTCCTCCACCGGCTCTGTTTTAATGTCCACCTCCATTTCTGGCTGTTCGGTATCGCTAGTCCCCGACATTGGCGACGGCGGAGCACGCTCCTGGTCGGGATCGTCGTCCTCCTGTTCGTGCGCTGAGTTATTTGTGCTGACCTCCTCCTCCGCCACCGAAAGGTGGTAAAGCTTCATTTCCTCGTCGGAAATGGGCACTGGGGCATTCGAGAGCGGATCCCGGCCATTCAAGGACTTGGGGAATGCAATTACATCGCGTATGGATCGAGCCCGACATAAGATGGCTATCAGACGATCCAGGCCCAGGGCAATGCCGCCATGCGGTGGGCAGCCCGATTCCAAGGCGCTTAATAAATGCGACAAGTGGTCGTGTGGGATCTTTAGAATCTGTTCTAAAATAAAGTGTTGCATGTCGCGATCGTGTATCCGAATGGAGCCGCCTCCGACTTCCTGGCCGTTGAGCACCAAGTCGTAAGCTTGGGAGCGTATGGTCTCCAGGTTTTCGCAACTGGTGGCAAAGTTGTCAGATCATCGGCGTGTGGGAGCGTGAATGGATGGTGCACGCTCTCCAACTGTTTGGTCTCACTGTTTCGCTCGAACAGCGGGAAGTCGATTACCCAGAGGAATCGGAAGTCATTTGGCTTCTTCACCTTGGCGTTCTCCACCAGAAACTCGTGGTAATCCAGTCGAATACGACCCAACAATGTGCGCTTTATAAATAATAGTGAACAATTGCTTATCGCATATCAATAATATATAAACTAAACTCACCGTTTCCTCTTTTGGTCCGATGCCCAAGAAAGTAGATCATTCTCCTCCAGATCGAACTTCTCAGCGACTTCGTTGGCTACTTCCTCGCCAAGCAGCTTGCCCAGCTTTTCCTGCACATCCTTGCGGCTCCAAACTTGCGCACGAATAACGTGCCCTTGAACAACTTGCTCAGGCTGTCATAATGCTTCCGGCATTGCCATTCCAAAAGGCTTCGCTGGCCCGCACGACAATGGCATAAGCACCGAAATCCTCGTATTTTTCCTTAAAGTTTCCACTCTTTTCAATTATTTCCGAAACGTTGTTGAGGAGGAAGCCAAAACGAGTATCTGGCTTATCTATGCCGTACTTTTCCAGTGCTTCTTCGTAGGTTATGCGGCGGAAGGGAGTTTGAAGTCGGGGAAAATCTTTTGGCCACGAGTAACGCAAGGTCTCCTCTATCAACTGCATGATGTCGTCGCGGCTGGTGAACGAGAGCTCTATGTCTAATTGTGTAAACTCCGGCTGACGATCGGACGGGTGGCTTCATCTCTGTAGCAACGAGCCACTTGGAAGTATCTGTCTATGCCGCCGACATCAGCATTGCTTGAACTGCTGTGGACTCTGTACGAGAGTAAAAGTGTCCCGCCTTCCTGGTCGGCACCACAAACTCCTGCGCTCCGCCGGGTGTGCGTCGGAAGAGCGTTGGGGTCTCTACCTCAACGAAACCCAAATATAAGATACTCTCGCATCTTCATTATAACAGCCGATCGAAGGCGGAGATTGTGCTGCATGTCGTTGAATCGCAGGTCCAGGTAGCGATGAGTAAGTCTCAAGCGTTCACCGGCGCGGTTAAACTTCCTGATTTCGAATGGCAAGTTCTTCTTGCGGCATTGAGCACGACCACCTTATCGGCCTCGACCTCAACGTGGCCGGTTTGCATTTTGGGATTAATCGTAGCCGCTGGCCGAGGTATCACCGTACCCTCCACACGCACAATCGACTCGATGGGCACGCCCGTCTCCACATATTCCTCCAGACCCGTGGTTTTGGGTAGCAGAGAGAACCTGAGTTTGGCCATAAGCGTCCCGGAGTATGAAGAACTTATTCATCCTCTGGAACTCCAGCCAGCCGCAAATGACGACGCATTTGATTCGTTGGTGGATGATAGCTCACCGCAATTGTGTGTGCGATCGGCGAACTTATTGGTATCCGCAATCTTGACTCGCTGCTCGGCACTTGCGGAGAGGTTTGCGGAGTGGGTTGTGTCCGCTACATCCTCCTTGGACTCTCCGTTATTGGTGCTGACCCGTGAAGAACCTCAGCGCCAGTCTCTTCGGACTCGAGATCATCGATAGAGAGCTTTTGCTGCTTCTCCTTGGCCTTAATGGGGCCTTCGTAGGGATCGTCCGGATTGAGGATTTTTACGGTAGACACACTGACCTCCACCTCACCAGTGTCATATTTCTTGAATTTAATTATATTTATTTAATCTTAGTTTTCACGGATTCTATATTTGAACTTACCAAGTTTATATTGGCCTTAGGTCTGCCCAGAACTTTACCGACGATCTGAAACTGTTTGCTCTGGCGTGGACAAAAATGTATCGCTGAGCTAAAGGAGAAGCTGTTTAATGGTGTACAAATTACACAAAAAGTGTACACGTACCGCCTGGTCCTCGATCATGAGTTGCGTCTGGCCATAGCCATCCTTAAGCTGCAGAAATTTGTTGTTCTTTGTTGAGGGAACCCAACCCACTAGGGTGACCTCTTTGCCAATATCGTCGCGCCTCAGGTCGTTGCAGGTGATATCGCGGTTCTCAAAGTACTTCAATATGTTCTCGTTTTCTGAAAGTAAGAATTTTGTGTTAATTTAACCTATTAGGTATATAAAAGGTACCTACTCACTGGCTATCTTGTACTCTGTGCTGGTGATGCCCAGGTTGCTTTGTTGCTGTACCATGGTGCTGTAAGTGCGCTTGTCTCCAGCCCGTTTTGTGCCGCTGGTCGGGAAGTGAATGTTGAGGATGTCCTGCACCTCCACCTCAATCTCACCCGTGGGCATAGTTTGATTGCACGAATTGTGTGGACGGCGCATCACCTGGCCCACAATTGTTAGCGTGGTGTTTTCGGGCATGTTGTTCATGCGCCGTGCCACCCGCGGATGCTTGTCCTCCAGCACCACCAGCTGACAGGCACCACCGTTACGATCCCGAAGCTCTGCAAAGCGGTTAACCCGCTTCTTAATCAGCCTGCCAGATAGCTCCACAAAGAGACCACAGTGGTGATTGCGCAATTCGCCGCAACTCTGACGCATCGGTTGTGGGGGCTGTGAGTTCATGTTGAGTTGCTGGCCATAGCACTCATTAATTGCATCAGCTCGTTGCCGGAAATGTTGGGAGGCCGCCCACTAGACATACCAAGAAATAATAATGTTAATGGTGGTAATTACGAAGTTTTCCCATAAATGGTACTTACTGTTGAAAGGATTTGGGCCGGGACCGGGTCCGAAGTTGTCATTAAATACCGGACCACCTCCACCGCCGCGCGGAAATTGTAAATCGTTGTAGCCACCGCCACCGCGTAGCCATCTCGCCGCGGCCTCCACCACCGCCGCCATAGCGTCCACCGCTGCCACCACGATACCTGCCACTCATTATCTGCAACAGCAATTTGGAATTATTCATGGAGCGGCGCTCTCCTTTTGGATTTGAATCACGAGCACTTACGTGACCACAATCAACCGGCTCTTCCAATGAGCTCGGGGTGCTCCGATTCCGAAAGCCCTTTTCCGACGATGTTACGCCGCTGACCGCACTGTGCACAAGTTGCTGGTGCAGTTGCAGTCGCTGGTGACTTCGCCAAAGAGTCCTAGAAATTAATAACATATTTTTTAAGCCGATTTCTTAGCCTCATGCGGCAGTGCGATATTTAGAAAAATAATTCGGACCCAGCACGAACCACACAACACATACACTGGCGCACTCACAATCAGACACTGCACACATACACAATACCAAGTGTGTGCGTGTATGTGCCGGGCGTCGCGAAAACGCCGATGAAAAGATTGCCAATTACTCAAGAACGTACCGCAGCAATTGGATCGATTGTGGGGCCACAATTACGCCGTAGTTAGACAGTCTATTGTCACCGGAGACCGATCGGAATTTTCCTTAACCAGTAGACAATTTAAGCACAGAAACTAGAAAAAAAATGTCACTGTTTTGGCTTGTCTGGGAATCAGTGTGACCGTAGCGATAGCTGGACAATAAGCCATTTTGGCTGCTCGTGACAAACTATCGCGTACTGTTTTACAATCATGTCAAATTTTAAATTATTTTACAGCATTTATTTTTCTTGATTATTAAAAGGAAAATTAGCTTATAATTTGTTTTATTTATTTACATGACACTTAAATTCATTAACAAATGCATTATTCAATAACAATCTATGTGTTTGTGTTCATCAGTACTACATGCATGTGCAAAAGTCATACAAAATCTGTTTTGTATAGTGGCAATCACAAGTTTCTTTCTTCATAACTTGCGTTCTGGCTTATAAATTTAAAAAAGTACACGGACCGGAACCAGACCAGTGTGCAGACATATTCCAGTGGCAATCTATAACCCAATATTAATGATTTTTAAATCTAGCTGGCGTAGTCGGTGCCGTTGAGTGAGTTCTTAAAATGCTGGACCACATAATCGTGATAGTAGGCCATTATACACAGAGGCTGACCGAGAATAATAGATGCCCAAACGATTATGTTGCCCATTCGAGACCAAACCTCTTCTCGATGTATTTGGAGATCGCCGAAAGGGGTATCTGACCCATCATGCCCATAAAGGCCCAGATCTTGTAGGTTTGCAGTGGAACAGAGACCTGTAAATAGATTACATTAGTAAAATTACACCCATATTTTATATATATTGAATTCCTACCAAATATTCGTGGAAGAAGGCACTGAAGAGGAACACTATGGTCGAGGCTTGGCGCGAAGAGTAACCCATCTGGACGACAGGATATAGAGGACGCACGCACCACCTATGCACCGCATATTCCAGGTCCTCCAAAAGGTTGTCAATATTATGGCGTTCCACCAATCACAGTAAAAGTT